TCTTTTTACCAGCCCTCATTTTGTCCTGTCTGCTTTCCAGATCATGACTTTTGGGCATGTTTTTTTGACACATTTAGTTTTGATATTCTCCTTTCTACAGCTTTGGTAAGAAAGGATACAAAAACATGATGTGACTATCAACTGATTCCAACAACTGATACAGGAGCAGAGGCCCTTATTGCTTACACTGAGAGTGAGCACGCAGAAAAGGAATCACTCACATTATTATACAGCTTCTCATTCCGATGCATCTTCCTACAGCAATGGGATAACCCAGCAAAGGACTTGGACATCCTTATCTGTAAAAGGCTAGTTAACTGTTCTCTATGAGAACTACTTAGGTCTACTTAGCAAAAATAGACAAAAGTTCTCTCAACTCTTTGTCCGAATTTTAGTGTCTTTCACCTCTTCAAAGCTCAAATTCTTAAAATATAATTTCACCAGCTATCTCCTTTTCCCCACCCCCTATGTAGTTCTCAATACTCTCTGATAACTCCATCACACTGCCAGTGAAGTGACAGAAGTCTCCCATTTACTCAAAGATGCAAATCCAGAAACTCACTTTTTCATAGAAATCAAACCTCTTGGAATAATTTCTTCTGTTAGTCACTGACTTCCTGAAGTACTTCAACATACTATATTTATATTTTTCTACTTCTCCTGGTCTTTATCTTGATATTTGTTTTCATTTTGTAGTTTTATTTTACTTTGCAATATTATTGTTATGTTGTTGTCAGCTCTTCACCCTCTGATCTACTTAATTTTTAGGCATTTTTACTAAATTTTAACTTGTTTGGTACCACTTTCATCTTATTCTGTGTACTGCCACCACTCTGATCAAAGTTTGGCTGTCACATACATTAAACCATTTTCCAAATGTGCACTTTCTGTCCTGTGTGTCTCAAATCATTCTGCCCTAGATCTTCTCATTGATATCATTGCTACCTTACACAATTATTACTTTAAGTCACTATAATTGTTATATAAATGAAATTTGTCTTTGCCTTAGTTGATTTTATATGAGCATATATTTTTTTTTCATTCTTTGGCATTGAAGATAATCACCATGATTAAAAACTATCCCTTATGCTAATAATTTTGTCCATTAGATCAAAATTCATATAGGTGAATGAAGCAGGCCCTGTTGCAGAATTCAAAGGCATTCCCAATTTAAAACATGATAGTCTGTATTGTTGCCCTTTCTTGTTTTTCCTCCTACATCTAATATTTTAATTTATAAAACAAAACTTATGATAGGAATTGGGAAATTTTCTTTACAAAGCTTCATTGTCAAATTTTGGTACAGATTTCTATGGTTTCAAGTATCATTTGAATGATTTTTCTCTTCCCATACATAATTCTAATGTATGCATTTAGTTCATGAAACTAAATTCATTTACAAAATCTGTTTGGTACAGGAAACAGATCTTTGTCAAAATTAATATTTATTCAGAAGTCTATGGTAGTTTTCATTATTCCTTCTTGCTGTTAGTGACTGTCTGCTATATGATAGAAAGCCAAATGTTCGGAGAAGTTTTTCTAAAAGGCTTGGTATTGTTCTGATCAGCAGGAAAGAAGTATTTTGTTTTGTATTATAATATCTTGTTTGAATTTTGATCTCTTTCAGATTCCATGCTTCCTGTAAATTTAGCTATGACTAAGTGTGTTTTCAGCTATATAGTGGCAGGCAGATTAAGGTGTTTGGTTTGGACATAATCATACACAAACACAGGTAAGCTCTTTCTCTGCTCCAGGAGGACAAAAGCAATTGTTAGAACATATCAGCCAGGGTACACAATGGCGCAGTGCTTTCATTAATAAGCTGAGCTTTTCCATGGTCTCTGACTTCAAGCTGGGAAGCCGGGTCACTGTCACTACAACATTCCCAATCAGACAGAAAAGGTGTGATTTCTCAATTATTATTAGAATGGCTCTGCTTATTATTGTTTACTCAAGAAATGTAATCTGACCCTCGAAATGTAAATCGTATATTGTCTAGAATTCTCTGTTGGATAGAAGATTTTTCAAGATGAAGCAAAAGAAAGACAGAAAGAAAGAAAGAACCATCAGAACTTCTTTTTCTTTTCTTAATACATCCCAGATAGAAAAGTTTAGTTCACACTGACATCATGGATTTTTTTTTTTGCATACCTTGGGAGTGTTCTTGGAGCAGGATCTATAATGACTGCAATATCTGTGGCACCTAATAAACTATTTTTCATCCAGGAATATAAATTTTCATTCAGTGAAATGAAGCTCATTATAAGAGATTCGCATGCCTAAATGAGTTAGGATGCAGATCTCTATATTTATATCATTGAACTCTCATTTACTGTCTCATGAGAGCACCCTCTGTCAACTCTCTCCTTAATGAATAAGACCCTCAAGAACACAGACAAACTTTTAATATCTGACATGTGACTGTGCTTGACAAATGTTTGAAAGGAAAGTTAAATGTAGTCTATTTCTCCCTCCTTCCTCCCTCCCTCCCCATCTCTCTCAAAGTGTTTAAAAGAAGCAAGCCTAGGATGTGCTGAAGCACTCTTGGGAAACTGTACATATTTCTCAGTTTGAAACAAATATATGCTGAGGAAGAGTTTTTAATTAAGTGGCTAAGTGGCTGAGAAAACCATGGAAGCATTAGGCAATGAAGCAGTTTTGCCACACTATAGCATATAACAAAGTTGAATTCTTTATGTCTTGCTCTGAATTCATTTAAAGCTGGAATGATTGTTTGAAAAGTTCTTAAGTGCAAGACAAAGACTTAATATAAAATAACATTTCATGAGTTATATTTTGATATTTTAATGGATAAACGATCTATTTAGGAGAAGACCTGGAGTTAAGGATATGGAGGAAGTTTAATGCCAGAGGAATACTACTGCAGATACTGTTTCTCTGATTAGAAACCATGAACATCATGAAAAGAAGTGGATGGACTCAATGCCATCAGTTTAGCACAGATCTGCATGGCCATCATTCTTTTCCACTCACTGTCCTACTTCTTAAATAATAAAAGACTTAGAAAATATCAATAACTTCACCTTCACAGGCAGGCTGAGGACTCCATCCGGAAACTGTGCAGACTGCATCCCCTCGTTCTCTGTACACAAAACCTCGGTCACATTGATACTGATACCTTTCATTCTCCTTGTAAACTGGTTTCTTGGATACAGCTTGTCCATTTGCAACTACTGGTGGTGTGCAGGAAATCTCTGAATGCAAGAGAGTAGTTGTATAATGTTTACTATGAAAGGAAATCTGCTGAGCAAGTCATATTTTCACAACGACAGAGCTTTGCTCACATTAGGTCAATCGGTGAAAATCATCCAACCAAACAATTGCTTTGAACTGACTGCTTTCTTAATCATATATCTGCTCTTTCAAATAGCCAATTTTTAAGGAAGCTAAAATTATATTGCTAATTATATTTAATATTATAGTAAATTAGCCTCTTGAAATAAATGACAGCCTGTAAAACTCCTCATATTTTTGTGAAAATGAACATAGGCACAGGCTTGAAGGTTAATACTTTACAAAACAACACATCTTCTCATTGTTGACAGTAATTTTCAAGACTTCACTTTTTCAAGGAAATCTATTAAAATCACTTTCCATTTGATCTTTAAGAAGTCATAGACTTCTGCTTTGATACCTTCACCATACATACATTTTTTTTTCAAAAGCCAAGCAAAGAAACCTAGAGAATTCCTGGCTACCACTTTTAACACACTTCTCTTAAAATACACTACTCCGGGACTGTGGCACTAGCAACTGGTCTCTTAAAGCCTCTCCTCCCGTCTTTCATTTTTTTCCTTAATTGTAACTAAATAAATTTCCAAATGGTCACTTTGAAATGTTTCGTCCTTTCCGAAATCTAGCTGAGTTAATTTGGCCCAGCCTATACAGTAACTATGCTGATCTACGCTCATTCTCTTACTGACTTACCACCTCTCTTCAACTGATGAACAGCAACTCTCTCTAAGATAAAACATTCCATCTAGGAGGGAAGCTCCTGCAAAAATAGGATACTCTATAGCAATTCTCATCCTTCCTAATGCTGCAACCCGTTAATACAATTCCTCAGGTTGTGTTGACCCCCAACCAAAAACTCACTTTCATTACTACATCATAACTACAATTTTGCTACTGTTATGAATTGTAATGTAAATATCTGATATGCAAATGGTCTTAGGCACCCCCTGTGAAAGGATTGTTCAACCCCAAAAGGATCATGACCACAGGTTGAGAACAACTGCTCTAATGGGAACTAAAACATCCCATCCTCCAGGGAAGCTCATTAAGCTCTGGAAACAATTCAAATGCTTCAGGAAGTCCTTGAAATTGGCCATCTTGACCAGTCCCCTTCTTCCCTGTGTATACATAAGCAGTGAGTGCTATGTAATATTTCTATCAGCTGAGCTTCCTAGAAGATGCTCAGACCTCTGTGCATTGTGCTCCAGATTTACGGCTTTTGTGAGCCTTCATCCATACTGGGGTGGTCTTTAGATGATGCAGCTATCTTTGAGTCACTTCTACCCTTGTAGCTGTAGTAAACTCATTAGTTCACCAACGTGGACTTTGGTGGTAGATATGTTGTTAGTTCCCTATCTGAAGTGCTTAGATGTTTGTTCTAATCTCCTTAGTAATGAGGTTATGCAGCAGCATCCTACAGTGGGGCTTCTGTAAACAGCTGATGAGGCCTAGGACATCACTGTGCAGTGAACACCTTGCTGTCTTCCACCTTTCTTCCTAGGGACTTCTGAGAGCTGCCATGTTTGCTCTTTTTAAGGTATTTTCAGATGCAAATACTTTAATCTCTCTTTAAAACTAATCTCAAGGGTCAGAATTTCCTAGGTTTCACTAGCCACAGGCAATGAATTATAGGGACATAAATAACACTCATGAAACTTCAATATGTGGAGTTTGTTGTTCACCTAATGTATGTATCAGTATATCGTTATTTTCATGAAGAATCAGTGTTGTTAGAATGACTTGTTAACACCAAATGGTCAGTCCTGAGGGAATGAAATGATGTAATTACATTCTCAAAAATTAAAGAAAATTTAAAAATAAGAAAACATTGCCTTCTTTAGTGTAAAGTAGGCATGTTAAAAAGGGTGAAAATATTAGAGATGTTAAATAATAATTCAAAAATAAATATAGTACAGGTACAGTGCCATGTGCCTATAATCTCAGCATTCATAAGGGAGGTTCAGGAAGATTGATGTAAGATGGAAGTTATTATGGAGTACATATCAAGTTCAGGCCATGGCTACATTGTGAGAGACTGCCTCAAAAACAAAGAAAAAAAAACTAAAATTAAGAGGAAGAAAAAACCAAAAATCAAAAAATATTGTTTCACAATTTATTATATCACTTTGCTATAAGTCAAAGTTTATTTAGTGGATTCAATTCAGGTAAGTAAAACTGACAGTAAATTTGCCATACAAATATGGGTTTGTGTACATGTGTGTGTGATATATCACATCCTAACAACATTAATTAAAATAGAATTCTTAAAAATTAAACTTTGCAGCAAATATATGTATAACCCTTCCAAACAATATTAATTAAAATTAGAATGCCTTAATGAAGCATGAATGAAAACAGAATAAGCCTTTAGCTTCCAAAAATCTTTGTAAAATTTGTTCTGGAAGCCAACTTTACAACACACAGCAGAAATGCTGAGGTTAGACTTTGAATAGCAACACCAGGTAGTGACATTTGTTTACATCTTAAGCAAGTCATTAAGCCACAGTAATCATACCAATCCTGGGTATTTCAATTAAAGAGATTATAAGAGGACATGATGGATATAGTTGTTCTGAAGGTAAAATAAAAGAGTTCATGCAAAAAAAAAGCCTTCAGTCAATTACAGGGAAACAGTTATGCTTAATAAGCATTAGAGTGATGCAATTCTCTTTTAATTAAAAATGTACTTTAAAAAATGCATAGTTTTCATAAGAATAGCTAGAACTATCCAAATACCAAAACAATGAATATGTGCATCTTACCCACACATCTCGGCTTTTCACTGCTCCAAAGGCCGTTTTCTGAGCAGTGGATTGCTTTCTGTCCTTCAACCTTGAAGCCTGCATTGCAGTCAAAGCGCACCACCTGTCCAAAATAATATTCCTGGTCTGGTTCCACTGAGCCACTTACAATTCTTCCATTCTCTGGTTCTGTCACTGGCAAACACTTAACAACTGAAAACATAGGCATCACTTTTACTATTAGAACTTGAAAGCTTCTACATGAAACATGTGCATATGAAGAAAAACACCAGCAACATAAGCCTGGAAGAAATTGCTTAAGTGTTTTAGGAACATTTAGTATGATTGTTGAAAGAGACAAAAGTTATGTAACATGAGTAGTCTGGTTATCAATTTCTGTGGGAATGGGAAGAGAACACTATCACTTTGAATGATAATTGAATTTTAATGATCTCAAGTGTCTCCTAAACTATTGAAAAATGTGAATTCTGGAATAATCAAATACACATGTTGTACTGATGACTCAGAGCAATGTGACATTGGAATTCCTCTGAGTATTCCAATAAAAGCAATGAATTTTAAGGTATTTCTTCTGATAGAGAAATTGTCCTTAATTTTTCTTTCCTTTCCACCTTGTTATTTTACTTAGAATTTCTCCATCATGAAGATATTCGGTTTATGTTGCCTGAAGAGACTTCGATGCAACAGGTATCCTAGGAATGTTTTCTTATCTTCCCACCCAAAGATACTGACTGTACAGGACATTCGGTGGTCCAAAAGCTCAATTTTACACAAGCAACTCATGTAACTCTGATGTCAATGTTCCCTGAAACAACTCTCCTTTCCTTATCTGAAAAGGATATCTGTATTTCTTTTCCTTATCTGAAAAGGATTATCTGTATTTCTCCAGGAATGAGAATGTCCAGTGTGATCACATTCTCTTTCTCTCTCTCCTTCCACCCCCTGCCCACTCTTCTTTCTCTCCTGTATTACTTACCCTGGAAATAGGACATAGCATTTGAATAGACTAGAGATCTGGACTATTTTCCCCAAACTTACAAACAAGACCTGTATTTCCTCATTCTTTCTGTTTGTACTACATATGAGCAAGAGGTAAAAAAAATGGAGAGGTCTTTCTTATTTCTTTCCCTTTTTTCCCCTAAAGTTAGGCTATGAGAAAACCTTGAAAGCAGCATACTGTTGATGTTTCAATCACATTCTTTACCACAGTGATGGCCTATGTCCCTGTAACTAGATAGTTATTAGGGGAGACATTCTTCCTGAATACGGCTTTCAAATTCTGACCTTTTATTAAGCCAGTGATGGTTGTATATATTATTAATGTTTGAAATCTAAAATGAAAGAAAATTGGCTTTGGTATTTCTAATAATCAGTACCCTGATCACAAAATTATATCAGTCTTTTTCTGTATTTATTATGTTGGTAGATAGTTTTGAGTTTTACTGGTTTTATTGATGACCCTTGTGTGTCTAGGGTCAAACCCAAGACACCAAAGAATCTACATTAACCCTGAGCAATTTGCCACCCTCTGGACTTAGTATACTTAATACATTGAAATACAAAATAGTTCCCTAACAAAACAGCTATGTTCTGTTTTAGCCTGGAAACTATAAAATATTATGAATAAGATAAATATAAACTTCAAGAATATTTTTACTGTAAAATGTGTGAAACTCTTATCTATCATACATGACAAACAGCTTTTTATTTACCTTCACATAATGGAATGTCATTGGTCCACCCATCCGCATCACATTCACGGTAATCAATCTCACCTAACAGTTGATACCTAAAAACAAAAACCAAATAAAATTGTGTTGAGACATCATGCATTTTCATGTACTTTTAAGCTCTTTACTGTCACAGAGGTCCTCCAGTAAGAGATTTTTAAGGAAAAAAAAAAACACGTTTTTCTTATATTATTCTAACCTTGCTCCCAATTGTTTAAAGAAGGAAAACAATTCAGTAGAATACCTGAGTCAAAGAGCTTGGACGTAAGGGTTTTCTAGATGCTTCCTGTAGAGGAGATGGAATAATTGACTATAAATGGGATACTCTAGCTCCCTTAACAAGCAGAATGTGTCTCCTTCCAAGAGAAAAAAGAAAGTTCCTGGTAAAAGACTTTCTGTCCACAGCAGAGACCAAACCCTTATGCCATGTTCCTTCTGACATTGTGTAAAATTCTACACAAAACTTTCTTGGACCTATGTTCATGGAGGGAGGGGAGAGGAGTGGAAAATGGTTGTTTATACAGAAAAAAAAAAAACTTTTTGCAATGTTGTCTCAAAATCACCTATATGTAGGACAACAAAATGATTGCTCAAAAGGAATCATTCCTCTAACTAATATATAACTAAACCTATACCCAGCAGAGAAAATAAAGACAGAAACATAGAACTAAAAAGGGTAAGCAAAAAACAGGGATGCAATAAACCTACTCCACACTTGGCCTCTATTTTTGCATTAAAACAAAACAAAAAAACCACTTATTCCTCAAGCTAGATAAGACATTCATCAATAAAAATTTAAAGTAATGCTACTCCTGCCCAATGTCCTCATCCCCCCCATCTCTCTGAGCCTGCAACTGAATAGAGTGGACCTGCCCAGACAGGGAGGAGCTTCCTGAGTCTGGAAACATCTCACTCTTCCTTCCCCCTCTGCCAACCCCAACTCTACTGAAGTGAGTGTACCCTCTGCTCCTGCCCTATTCCTGCCCAATATCCCCATCACCTCCGGATCTCTCTGGGCCTTCCCAGACAGGCAGGAGCTCCCTGAATCTAGAAACACTCACTCTTCCTTCTACACCCCTGCCAGCCCTATCCCTACCTAATGAGGAGACTACCAGGAGAGGCAAGACCATCCAGAGCTTCAGACATTAAAGTTTTGGTCCACACACACCACCAGGTGGCAAGAGGAGATAGAGAGACCCCACCTGGACCCACTGGAAGAATAGATGGGAAGAGGAAAGAATAAGAACACACTCAGAAACAGAAAGACCAATATGACACACCAGAATCTAGGGACTCCACAACAGCAAGATCTGAAAAGCCCAACACAGAGAATGAAGAAGAGATGGACCTCAAAAATTATCTTAGGAAGATGATGGAGATCTTTAAAGAGGAAACAAAAAAATCCCTTAAAGAAATAGAAGAAAAACAAGCAAAAATTACAAGAAATGGAGGAAAAGACAAACCAAAAAATTCAAGAAATAAACAAATCTCTTAAAGAATGAAAAAAAAGCTAAAAAAAAACAACCAAACAAGTGAAGGAAGCACTCGAAACAGTTCAAGGCATGAAAGCTGAAATAGAAACAATAAAGAAAACACAGAAAGAGGAGATGCTGGAAAAAGAAAGGCTGGATAAACCATCAGGAACTAAAGATGTGAGTATAACCAATAGAATTCAAGAGATGGAAGAGAGAATCTTAGTTGCTGAAGACTAGCTATAGGATATATAGTCATTGACCAAAGAAAATCTCAAGTCCAAGAAATCCCTAACACAAAATATCCAGGTAATATGGAACACTTTGAAAAGGCTGAACTTAAGAATAATAGGTATAGAAGAAGGTGAAGAAGCTCAAAGATACAGAAAATATATTCAACAAAATCATAAACGAAAACTTTACCAACGTAAAGAAAGGCATGCCAATGAAAGTACAAGAAGCCTACCGAACGCCAAATTGAGTGGACCACAAAAGAAAGTCCAGTCATCACATAATAATTAAAACACAAAACATACAGAATAAAGAAAGAATATAAAGAGCAACAATGACAAAAGGCCAAGTAACATATAAAGACAGACCTATCAGAATCACACCCGAATTATCAATAGAAACTTTGAAAGCCAGAAGGTCCTGAATAGACATCCTACAAACACTAAGGGAGCATGGATGTCAACCTAGACTACTGTACCCAGAAAAACTTTCAATCACTATAGATGGAGAAAACAAGATATTCCATGACAAAACCAGACTTAAACAATACATATCCAGAAAACCAGCACTACAGAGAGTTCTGGAAGGAAAACTCCAACTCAATGATGGTAACTACACTCAGAAAAACATAGGAAATAGATAATCCAATTTTACCAAACAGGAAAAGAAACAGGAGGGTGAAATACACAAACAATGAAACGAACAACAATAAATCCAAAACAAAAAAGAACCAACAATCAATAGACATTAATATCCCTCAATCTCAATGGTCTTAACCTGCCCATAAAAAGATGCAGACTAACAGAATGGATACGAAGACAGAATCCATCCTTCTGCTGCATACAAGAAACACATCTCAACTTCAAAGACAGGCATTACCTCAGAGTAAAGGGTTGAGAAAAGATTTTCCAATCAACTGGGCCCAAGAAACAAGCTGGTGTAGCAATCCTAATATCTAACAAATTAGACTTCAAACTAAAATCAATCAAAAGAGATGAAGAAGGGCATTTCATACTCATCACAGGAAAAGTCCATCAAGATGAAGTCTCAATCCTGAACATCTATGCCCCAAATACGAAGGCACCCACATTTGTAAAAGAAACATTATTAAAGCTCAAACCACACATAAAACCACACACACTTATAGTAGGAGACTTCAACACCCCGCTTTCACCATGAGACAGGACCACCAGACAGAAACTTAACAAAGAATCAAAGGATCCAACAGAACTTATGACTCACTTGGATTCAACAGATATCTATAAAACATTCCATGTGAACACAAAAGAATCTACCTTCTTCTCAGTGCCACATGGAACCTTCTCTAAAATTGACCACATAGTTGGTAACAAAGCAAACCTCCACAGATACAAAAGAATTGAAATAACCCCTTGTATCTTATCAGATCACCATGCTTTAAAGATAGAATTTCAACAGCAATACAATTTGGAGAAAACCTACAAACTCATGGAAATTGAATAACACCCAATTGCACTATTCCTGGGTTGTGGAAGAAATAAAAAAGAAATTAAAGACTTCCTAGAATTTAATGAGAATGTAGACACAACATACTCAAACTTACGGGACACTCTGAAATCAGTGCTAAGAGAAAAGTTCATAGCACTAAGTGCCCACATGAAGAAACCGGAGAACAGTCACACTAGAGAATTGACAGAACAACTGAAAGCTTTACAGAGAAAAGAAGTAAACTCACCACAGAGGATTAGACACCAGGAAATAATCAAACTGAGGGCTGAAATCAATAAAGTAGAAACTAGGAAAAAATTACAAAGAATCAATGAAACAAAGAGTTAGTTCTTTGAGAAGATCAACAAGATAGACAAACCTCTATCCAAACTAACCAAAAGACAGAGAGAGAGAGCATGTTAATTAACAAAATCAGAAATGAAAAAGGGGATATAACAACAGACACTGAGGAAATCCAGTGAATCATCATGTCATACTTTGAAAACCTGTACTCCACAAAATTCAAAAATCTAAAGGAAATGAACATTTTTCTGGATAGATATCACTTACCAAAATTAAACCAAGATAAGCAGTTTAAATCAAATCAACCTATAATCCCTAATGAAATAGAAGCAGTCATCAAAAGCCTCCTAACCAAAAAAAAAAGCCCAGGGCCAGATGGCTTCACTGCAGAATTCTACCAGAAATTCAAACAAGAGCTAATACCAGTACTCCTCAAATTGTTCCACACAGTAGAAGCAGAAGGGATACTGCCAAACTCTTTTTATGAGGCTGCAATCACTTTGATACCCAAGCCACACAAAGACACAACTAAGAAAGAGAACTACAGACCAATATTCCTCATGAACATTGATGCAAAAATTCTCAATAAAATAAAGGCAAATGGAATCCAAGAACACATCAGAGAAATCATCCACTATGATTAAGTAGACTTTATCCCGGGGATGCAAGGATGGTTCAACATATGAATATCCATCAATGTAATCCACCATATGAACAAACTGAAAAAGAAAAAAACACATGATCATCTCACTGGATGCTGAAAAAGCCTTTGACAAAATCCAGCATCCATTCATGATAAAGATCTTGGAAAGAACAGGAATAACAGGAACATATCTAAACATGATAAAAGCAATACACACCAAACCAACATCCAACATCAAACTAAATGGAGAGAAATGCAAAGCCCAGGAACAACACAAGGCTGTCCACTCTCTCTATATCTCTTCAATATTGTTCTTGAAGTTCTAGCCAGAGCAATAAGAGAAGAAAAGGAGTTCAAGCGGATACAAATTGGAAAGGAAGAAGTCAAACTTTCACTATTTGTAGATGATATGATAGTCTACATAAGTGACCCGAAAAACTCTACCAGGGAACTCCTGCAGCTGATAAACACCTTCAGCAAAGTAGCAGGATACAAAATTATCTCAAAAAATCAGTAGCCCTACTATATAAAGATGATAAATGCAATGAGAAAGAAATCAGAGAAACATCACACTTCACAATATCCATAAGCAACATAAAATATCTTGGGGTAACGCTAACCAAAAAGTGAAAGACCTATAAAGTAAGAACTTTGAGTCTTTAAAGAAAGAAATTAAAGAAGATAGAGAAAATGGAAAGATCTCCCATGTTCTTGGGTAGGTAGAAACAACAGAGTAAAAATGGCAATCTTGACAAAGCTATCTACAGATTCAACACAATCCCCCTCAAAAGCCCAACACAGTTCTTCACAGACCTTGAAAGAACATTACTCAACTTTATATGGAAAAACAAAAAACCCAGGATAGCCAAAACAGCCCTGTACAATAAAGGATCTTCTGGAGGCATCACCGTCTCTGACTTCACTATATAATTTAGAGCCATAGTTCTGAAAACAGCTTGGTATTGACACAAAAATAGACAGATAGACCAATGGAATCAAATTGAATACACTGATATTGACCCACACATGTATGAACACCTAATTTTTTACAAAGAAGCTAATCTATAAAATGGAAGAAAGATAACATCTTCAAATGGTGCTGGTACAACTGGATTCAGACATTCAGAAGATTGCAGATAGATCCGTATCTGTCACCATACACAAAACTTAAGTCCAAATGGATCAAAGATGTCAACATAAATCCAGCCACACTGAATCTTCTAGAAGAGAAACAGGGAAATACCCTTGAATGAATTGGTACAGGAGACTGCTTCCTGAACATTACACCAGTAGCACAGACATTGAGATCTACAATTAATAAACGGGACCTCCTGAAACTGAGAAGCTTCTGTAAGGAAAAGGACACAGTCAGTAAGACAAAATGACAGCCCACAGAATGGGAAAAGATTTTCACTAACCCCACATCTGACAGAGGGCTGATTTCCAAAATATACAATGAGCTCAAGAAGCTAGCCACCAAAACATCAAACAATGATATTAAAAAGTGGGGTGCAGAACTAAATAGAGAATTCTCAACAGAAGAATCTGAAATGGCTGAAAGACACTTAAAAAAGTGCTCAAAATCCTTGCTGTCAGAGAAATGCAATTCAAAACAACCCTGAGATACCACCTCACACCTGTCAGAATGGCTAAAATCAAAAACACCACTGACAATCTATGCTGGAGAGGATGTGGAGAAAAAAAGAACACTCCTCCATTGCTGGTGCGAGTGCAAACTTGTAAGACTACTTTGGAAATCAGTATGGCGGTTGCTCAGAAAAATGGGAAATCAGTCTACCTGAAGATCCAGCCAATTCCTCTCTTGGGCATATACCCAAATAATTCACTTTCATACAACAAGGGCATATGTTCAATCATGTTCATAGCAGCATTGTTTGTAATAGCCAGAACCTGGAAGCAACCTAGATGTCCCTCAACTGAAGAATGGATAGAGAAAATGTGGTGTATTTATACAATGGAGAACTACTTAGTAGAAAAAAGCAATGGAATCTTGAAATTCACAGGCAAATTAATTCAACTAGAAGAAATCATCCTGAGTGAGGTACAGTGACAAAAAAGACAAACATGGTATGTACTCACTCATATATGAATTTTAGACATAGAGCTAAGGATTACCAGCCTACAATCCTCTTCACCAAAGCAACTAGGAAACAAGAAGGATTCTAAGAGAAAAATACATGGACCCAGGAGAATGGGAAGGGCCAGGATCTCCTGACTTAAATGGGTGCATGAGGGTAGGGGAGAGGGAGCTGGCAGAATGAGAGGAGGAGAAGAGGAGGCGAGAGGAGGATATGGAGGAGCGGAAATGCTGAGTTGGGTGAAGAATAGAGGAGAAGCAGGATAAGAGATACCATAAGAGAGGGAGCCATTATAGATCTAGCACTAGGGAGATTTCCAGAGATCTACTAGGATGACACAAACTGACAATGGTGGAGAGGCAATGGTGGAGAGGATACTCTAAATGCCCTTCCCCTATAATGAGACTGATGACTACTTTTTATGCCATCCTAGAACCCTCATCCAGTGGGCTGAACTGAACTGAACTGAACCCAGGAATCCAGTTGCAGAGAGGGAGGAATGAAGATCACAGGGTTGGGGACCAGGCTGGTGAAACCCACAGAAACAGCTGGCCTGAATAAGGGGGAGCACATGGACCCCAGACTGCTGTCTGGGAGGCCAGCATGGATGTCAATGAGGAGGCCTCTGCACTCTATGGGGCCCCTAGTAGTGGATCAATATTTTTCCCTGGTGTAAGAACTGACTTTAAGAGCTCCATCCCACGTGAAGGGATGCTCTATCGACCTGGATTTAAAGTAATGAGAACTATTTTTACCTACTGATCCGACATGGTTCTAAGGACTTTCACTGATAAGTGTCAATAATTTTGCCAGCAGATTTCTGTTGGTAATTTAAGTTCAATGTACAAAGTTACCAACATAATAGGGTTCTATCGGTGTTGGCTCTTTATATATACAAGACGAAAGAGGCAATGGTGAGTTCAAGAGAGCCAGAGTCAGAGAAAAATGTTCAGTTCATTTCTTCACCAAATTGTAAATCTAAGTTCTTAAACTGGGGGATTCAAATGAAGACAGTATAGAGTTTGATTCCCTTTTTTAGTGCAAAAGTGAAACCGAAACCAGGGAGGCCAGCCTGGGATGAAACAATTTAGAGGAGAACAGTGGACCAGCCTGAAAACCCCATTCCATGGCAATCCTTGTTGGCTCTGTGCAATAATGTATGTGGTGATGATGGAAAATTTGTATAAAAATTAGTTTGAAAAATCTATATCAGGTTGTGAACACAGAGAAACTAAATAAGAAATGAATATAGCCGGGAGTTGATGGAGCCCACCTTTAGTCCCAGCACTGGAGGGGCAGAGGCAGGTGGATCTCTGTGAGTTCGAGACCAGCCTGGTCTACAAGAGCTAGTTCCAGGACAGGCTCCAAAGCCACAGTGAAACCCTGTCTCAGAAAACCAAAAAAAAAAAAAAAAAAAAAGAAAGAAAAAAGAAAAAAAAGCAAAAAAAGAAATGAATATATAGTGGGTACTTGCAGTATCTCATGATTGTTTTTGACATGCTTCAATGTGGGTCATATTTATTTCCCCTGCCTATCCCATGATGCTGATCAGAAGTTTGCACTTTTGTCAGAGGGGGTGATATGAATGAAATAACAGTTTATAAACATTGAATATTTGAATCAAGGAATGTTTTAGAGCTAATTCTAAAGCCTGAAAAGTTTAAACCGTTATAGTTTATTGTCTGAAATTAGGAAATAAAGGGCAACAAAAAATATTCCATCTACAATGCTTAATTTTATTTATACTTACTTGGTATAATATTATAGAGTTCTTAATTTTCCCATATGAATTTTTAAAAATAATCTGTGGCAATGAAGAGAAATGATAGAAAATGAAGAACTGAGTACGCATTGCTGACATCAGCCCTGAGACCAGTTGCTGGTCAGAGGGAAGAGTCAATGATTCTGAAAAATTAGTGTTTGCGTCACATATAATAAAAGTAATTTACATACTACTGAGCTTTAACAATAGCACTCAGCAGAGAGGCTTTCTATTCACAAGTAAAATTCTTGTTTTCTTGGTCTGTTTGGGAGGCCCCAGAAACAGGACCAGGATCTGTCTCTGGTGCATGAGCCTGATTTTTAGAACCTATTCCCTATGGTGGGATGCCATTTTCAGCCTTGATGCAGGGAGGAGGGGCTTGGTCCTGCCTCAACTTGATATGCCAGGCTGTGTTGACTTCCTTACCCTTTCTGAGGAGTGAATGGGGGCAAGGTAGAAAGGTGGTGAGGCTAGGGAACAGAGGAGAGGAGACGGGGAAGACTATGGTTGGTATTTAAAATAAATAAATTTAATAAAAAGTAAAATCATAAAAGTCTTGCTTCCTTTAAAGACTACAAAATCTTTTCAAGAGGGTCACCATATAACATAGTTGTTTTCACAATTCCTATTGTCCCTAATACATAAAATCTTCCCATTTCACTTAATATTGTGCAAATAACGGAATGGAGTAAAGTGTTGAACACTTAACTTTTGTGTGTACTGACTTAACACTCCCTTATTTCAACATTATGCCAGAATAATCATAACTCACTTAACTTTTCAGTGTTATGAAGACAACATGGCATTCAAATAAAATTACTCACATCTTAGCTTTATTTATGTTACTTTTTAAATGTTAACAGAAAAATTCAGTCTCATTAAAGTACAAACTTGTAGACTTTCTACATATAATTTCAATGATAGGCCTTTTAATATTGACAACATACCCCTCATTGCAGGTATAAACAACCTTTGCACCAAACTCAAACGCAGTTCCAACTGCCAGGCTAAAGGACCCAAAGGGTGTATCTCCAGGATGCCCACATGGCCTTTCTAAAATTAAAGAAAAGAAGACTCAGTGTTAGAATATAGTCCTTGGAACACACCTCATGTAGGAGTGAGGGGAGAATATTTGGATATCATAGAATAGAAGAGAAACTGAAAACAGGAAAGAAAATTTTATAATTGAAGCTACCTACCTACTTCCATTTTTAGTTTTGTAGGCTTACTACATTTTAAAATGATTTTTCTCTATTTTGGTTATAGTAGTGATAGAATTTTATAGTGTGATAGCATAAAGCATGTAGTACATCAAAACTAAGTTGTCTCAAGGTTCTCAAACATGAAGTACTTACTCCGACAGATCCTGGATGGGTTAGAAGCCACCCATTTTCCACCCTTGCATACTTTAACAATAGTTCCAAGTGTTCGGTATCCAGGGCGGCATTTGTAGGTGGCTTGAATGCCTTCTGGGTATGGTTGGTCAGGCCAAGACCCTGACAGAATTTCTGTATTTTCTTTTGGAGGAGGACCTTTACAATCTACAATAAAAACACACCAATAATTGGAATACATATTCACATAGATATGATAACCCTTAAATATAAAAAAATATGGTATTGTCAACAAAGACAAATTTTAAAAGCTCACCGTTTGAGGGTAAACTGAAGCCTGGATGCTCACAGCACTGAACCCACAATTGGGGAACCTGTATGGATCTTACCTAGGCCCTCTGCACATGTTATGGTTGTGTAGCTTGGTGTTCTTGTGGAAACCCTAACAGCAGGAGTTGGGGATATCTGACTCCTTTGCCTGTGCTTAGGACCCTTTTCCTCCTACTGAGTAGCCTTTTCCAGCCCTGATATGAGGGTCTGTGCCTAGTCTTACTGTAATTTGCTATGCCATGTGCAGTTGATATCCCTGGAATACCTGCTATTTTTTGGGTGGGGGGAATAAAGGAGGTGTGTATCTGGGGGAGAGAAGAGTGGCTCATAATTGGGGCAGGGGGACTGGGAGGAGTCGACTTGGGGAAACTGTAGGTGGGATGTAAAGTATGTAAAGAACAAAAAGGAGGGAAAGAACTGCTAGTGTGACAGAAGTTGGAGCTACCTTGTCAAGAAAGGAAACAGAGGCCACAACTCACACGAAAGCTGAAAATGTGTGCTTCTGTCTTAGTCACTGAGGGCTGCTGGGACCAAAAGTCTACAGATTGGACAGCTTAAACACAATGTGTTTCTGCATGGGAATGTGCTTTGTTTCCAGATGAAGATATTTTCCCTTAATTGTCATAGAGCAGGTGGGGAGTGGGAGGTGGGGGTGGGGAGCAGAAAGACAAATAACAATGGACAGAGACGGATGTCATAAAACCTCTCTATCTTATTTTTAAAATGCTTATTTCTTTATGAGGACTCAGCTCTCATGACCTCATCTAAACCTAACTACATCCCTAAGATCCCTAAGGCCCATTTTAGTTTCATTATGCTGGTTTGGAGACAGAACAAACACTATGTCCACACCAATTGTCTATTGGTCAGCAGTTATGCCACTGAGAGCTCATCCAAGAAATGCATGTGCATGTGAACCCCATTTCACTTGTGGCAAAGATTAGAAGAATATGGCTACTATTCAAAATGAGAAGGTACAACCCCAGAAGTTGAATTAATAAAAATTTATAATACAGGCATGTGGTGAAAATTACATCAATGCCATGAAATATACAGAAGAATATCCTAGTAATGAATACAAAACCATAATGTATTTAATATTCAAGGACTATTAATATCAATATGAAAATTAAGGACAGCATTGTATATTTCATGTAGACACACACAGGTTGTGAAACAATCAAGAATAAATGTAATTATAGCTTTGAAGATATAACTTGTTCCATTTGAAAGAGACTGACAGGTATCTTCTGGGGTTCTGGGAATTCTGTTTCTTGGTGTGAATGAATAATAATTAATAATATACTATGTTTATAGTTTATTCTTTAGTATATATTACATAGTTTTTTAGAGTGATTATTTTTTTATTTGAATTAAAAAGATTATTTTACATGTTAATCCCAGGTCCCTCTCCCTCCTCTCCTCCCCTGCCCTCCAACTAAGACCCTACCTATCCCATACCCTATCTGCTCCCCAGGGAGGGTGAGGCCTTCCATATGGGAGTCCTCAAAGTCTGTCATATCCTTTGGGATAGGGCCTAGGCCAACCCCCTTGTGTCTAGGCTCAGGGAGTATCCCTCCATGTGGGATGGGCTCCCAGAGTCCATTCCTACACTAGGGATAAGTACTGATCCATTACAAGGGGCCTCATAGATTTCCAAGGTCTCCTCACTGACACCCACATTCAGGGTGTGTGGATCAGTCCCACGCTGGTTTCCCAGCTATCAGTCTGGGAACCAAGAGCTCTCCCTTGTTCAGGTCAGCTGTTTCTGTGGATTTTATCAGCCTGGTATGGACCCCTATGCTCATCTGCCCTCCTTCTCTGCAACTGGATTTCAGTTCAGTTCAAGGTTTAGCTGTGGGTGTCTGCTTCTACTTCCACCAGCTGCTGGATGAAGGCTATAGGATGGCATAAGAATTAGTCATCAATCTCATTATCAGGAGAGGGCATTTAAAGTAGCCTCTCCTCTGTTGCTTAGATTGTTAGTTGGTGTCAGTCATCTTTGTAGATCTCCAGACATTTCCCTAGTGCTGATTTCTCTTTAAACCTATAATGTCTCCCTCTATTATATTATCTCTTATGTTGTTCTCTTCTGTTCTTCCTACAACTCAACCTCCCTGCCCCATCATGTCTTCCTCACCCCTCCTCTTCTCCCCTTCTCATTCTCCTAGTTTCCTCTCCCCTCCTCCCATGCTCCCAATTTGCTCATGAGATCTTGTCCCTTTTCCCTTCTCCAGGGGACCATGTATGTCTCTCTTAGGGTCCTCCTTGTTTACTAGCTTCCCTGGCAGTGTGGATTGTAGGCTGGTAATCCTTTATGTCTAAAATCCACATATGACTGAATATATACCATGTTCATCTTTTTGTGACTGGATTATCTCGCTCAGAATGGTGTCTTCTAGATCCATCCATTTGCCTGTGAATTTATATACATAAAATTAACAAATGAGTATGTGTTCTATTGCTGTTACTTTTCAATGGACTAACTAAAGATAGTGTATCAAAAGAATGGACAGAAAATTAATGAGTAAGTTTGTGCCTTTTGGTTATATTTATTCATTTTCATCTTCTTGTTACTTAAAATTTAGACACTGAGTAACTTTCCCAAGATACCTGAAAGCGGCAGAACTGAAACTGAGCTTGGGTTTGCCAGACATGGGAGCTCATGTTGCTTTCACCACTCACTCCTTATGGTTTGGGGCTGGAAAGTAAATTAGAGGTACTGTGCTTTCTTCTTGCATTTTATAGGAGAAACGTTTTGTTTACCTTTTTAACAAAAATTTCCAAATACATAGGAAAGCTTGAATTTACAGTGAAAACCAACACAACAAAGATCTAGTGAACACATTTAACATTTTACTACAATGGCTGTGCCTAAATCCTTCCATGCTTTCATATTTTTGCCTATTTATTATTTCCCAAGTCTGTATGGCTATGGAATATTAGCATCAAGAAAGAGAATTGTTTTTTAGTATTGCCTTATGCTTAATTTTATAATAAATACCCTGATATTTAAATGATTATATTAGTAAAATCCAACATGTTGGTTCATAGATGGCAGATTCTAGTGCTTTTTATCTATCATATCTGAAAAATTATTATTTTAATTTGTAGATTCCTTTTACTTCTTGATTTAGTAACAATTTATCTCCCTACTCTAAGCTTTATCTTCTAAAGACAAGAAAATAACCTACTGAGGCATATCCCACTTGGGACTTGTATCTCTAAGATGTAATTATACAACACGTGATGAAGTAAAGGGAACAGCACATTTTCTACAATAAAGCACCTGTTTAGGCTGTCTGGTACACGTATTTATTTGAGTATTTTCACGTTTTTAGAACATTTGTGTTAGTGAATGTGTATAATAAATTCTGTTGCATTACAGTTTGATTTTCAGCAATTCAGTAATTAAGCTTTTGTACACTAGATGGCGAGAATACTCCACCACCGTCACAGCAAAGAAAATCCTGTTGCTTCAAAATGCAAGCTCTCTGGAAATGAAGAATCTCTCTGCTTTCAGTTGCTGCTCGATCTTCTCTCTTCAAATGCATGTGCTGTTTGTCTTTGTTTAGATTGTCAGCATAATATGTACCAGTAACCTATGTTACAGCTGAAATACTTAATGATTCACCGTATTTGTACAATAAGGCTTAAGCGTGTCTTTAAGACGGTGGCAAACAGCAGGGTTTCTTAAGCTCCACAGATATATATTCTCAGAGTTCTAACCAGAATGTAACAAGTTCTTTTCATTCATGTAGTCGATCTGTTAATGTAAATGTGCAATAACACATTTGCTTGAAATAGATGGGAAATTGTTAGCAAAACAGGGCAGGTGTTGTTAAACAGGGAGTGCAGCAATACTTTCAAAAGAATAAAAACATTTTCAGAGGGATAACTCATCTTAAATCCTCTGAAAAGGGGCAAGTCTTATGCTTCTAGCTCTCTGTGAAAGAGTGAACTTACCTTTCTTGTACCTACATATTTACTCAGATTCTGACAAATAAAGCCCGATCCCATGTGTTTGCAGTAACATCATTGACAGGTGTTTTCTAAAACCGCCTGTGTTGATTTTCTGTTTACTTGACTGTATTTGCCAATTTCAAATGTTTTTCAGAAAATGAATGACTGTGTATAGGTTGGACTCTCTGAAAACAGGAGCCTTTTTACTTTAACTTGAGGGAGGTAATGGTGAAATTTTTGAAAGTGAAAAGCAAACTGATTTTTCAGTAACCATGGTTCACTGGCTTTTTCATATTCAGATTTTAAAGAGCTAATATTGACACACAAACCAGATAGAATTCCTTATTTTAGTGCCAATATGTCTCTTAATTATTATTTGAAATGTTCTAGAAAAACGAGATAAATCTTAATGAATTTGCATATATTAATGAATTTGCATGTCTCAACGAATTTGCATATCTTGTGAAACATATCTATCACTTGTAAAGTCAGAGATAGCCTTTTTGTTCATTTACTATAGCTTCTTAAAGGATTTTAGAAAGGAAGAGGAAGTATCATTTTAAAAATATTACCTCTTAACAGATGGTAAAATATACTATCATTGAAAACTACAAGTTCTTTAGAAAAAATAAAGCAAATGAGTAAAATGGAAATATCAAAAATAGATATTTCCATTAAACTTCCATTCTGCTTTATTGATATAAATGAATATTAATTTTATGCACATATGTGAGCTAAATAGTTTTTGTTAATTAAACATGTTGAGAATAATTTATAATTAGTGCAAGAATATAGAATTTATAATTTTTTGAACAAAGAAAATCAGTTGCAGTAAAATACTTTAAAAAAACAAACTACACAAACTTCAGTTCAAATGACACAGCAAACATTTGAAAAGAAATAAATTCCTTCTA